CACAATAATTCCGTGTCGACTAGCATGATATCGTCGTTACATGTGGCTACTATCTATCTAAAAAAACTGTAGGATCTGCCGCAGATAATAACGGCACATTGATGCGTGTCAAGGATTTAGTTGATGGTTTGTTGGCAACGAGATCCCATCGCGTTCTCATCGCGTTAAACCAAAGAAAGGAAAAGAGAGAAAGAAAGGAAGACCAAAAATATTTCGCGGAATTTTAGCTCAATTATATAATTAATAGGAAGAATTACATACTGAGAGATTTCAAATTGATTAAATAATATAACGTTAAATATGTATTAATGTTAAAACAGTTTATCGCAAAGCGAGAAAGTCTATATAATAAATTATATAATATAAAACCAAATTTTTATTACATATGAAACTAACAGTAAAAATACATTATACAAAAGATAACATTGTAACATATATATGTATGCGTATAAATCATTGTAATATATAAATAATATGATAATATACATATATAAATCTGCTAATAATTTAAACAGTCGTATTTCGTATTAATACTTTAAGGTTAAATTATTAGATTATTATTTACTAGACAACTGTTTTCACGAGGCAACACACGAAAGATTATCTCAAAACTATACAGGGCGTCTCAGGAGGAAAGGTCATTATTCTGGGAGGTGATGATATCGGTCATTTTAAGCAAAAATGTTCATATAAACGAGTGTCCTATTTCAAACGGTTTCTGCGATAGAGCTGTTTGAATATACAGTTGCAAAATGAATGATACTACATACTATTTTTAATTTATTGTTCACAAATAACTTCTTTTTTATCATTTTTTATATTTTTCTTTTTTTTTTGGAATAGAAAACACTCATTTATATGAACATTTTTGCTTAAAATGACCGGTACCATCACTTTCCAGAATATTGATCTTTCCTCTTGGGACACCCTGTATAAAGATATTTACTTTATTCTATTTCCATGAATATAAAGTATATTTTATATTTTAGCAACCTTGTGAAGCAATGCCATTGCACTTAGAAAGGATTAATCTACTGGAATATGCGCGCTGTTTCTTTTCAGTTCGTCAGTGGTTTCTCCTGAGGTGTCAGTATTGCGCTTGACATCATACTGTACGGATTAGTATTTCTTAAAGATCCGTTCCTCTCCTACGGTATTCAATATTAATATTAAAAAGGTACGCAATTTTTCTCTCGTTTTTCCAAATTTTTTCTATTCAAAGGAGTGTGCTATACTTTTGATATAGTTTTTCTTTGCGAATATGCTTTTAATTTTAATTTCAAGAATTAGAGCCTGCTTAAGACAATTTATAATTTGCGACGAAAAATTCTAGATAGAAATCTATTTAGAATTTTGTATATCCTAATATGTGTGTATCCTAAAATGTATTTTATATATGTGTATAGTTTATTTCTTCAAATGTGTTTTTTATATTATACGATACATAAAATTCTCGTTATTTGAGATTTATATAAGTTTTATTAAAAAATACGTGTTTTCAAAAAATCGCGATTTATCTTTGATATTTTTTGGTTCAAAAGCACATTCTTAAATGATTTATTAGAGAAACAATAACGTTCGTCTTCTTCCGCATAATCTGCTGAAATATAAGTTATGCAATTAAAACAATGGTCTTCACTCTCAACATTGGTAATGACTAGCAATTATAGTATTCTTCGCGCGCACGTAATCTGCAATGCAGATGGAGCAATAGTATTTTCTATAATAATCCGACTATAACTACAGTTAAAAAACAGTGGAAAAACAGTAATAATATCAACTAAATAGTAAGTTTTTATATATCAAATTGTAAATTTTTAATAGCAAGTTTTAAAATATATATCTCCTCTACAATAAATTATTAAATATAGTACAAACATCGAATTTTCTTAATAAAACATTTCAATCATAGTTAACGAGTTTCAAATTTATTTTAATGAAAGGAAGTTTTTGATGTTGATGTTGATGTATGTATGTTACAAGGTAGAATGTATTACGAAACCGTTATGTAGAAGACATGACATTCATATCAACACAGTACTTGCTATCGTATGTGCCATGGTTATTACGTATATTTCTATAATTACGAAAGAGCGAAATCACAAATTATTGTTCATATTATTTATAAAAGTGTCATTTTATAATTAAACAGAAATTGTGTTACGCATAAAATCGTTTTATGAAAAATTATTTCAAGAAATAT